CTTCATGATTGTTTAAGCTTTCAGAAAGGACTACCATGTCTCATCTTTTTCAAAAATCTGCTCGAAGTTCAAATCGTCATAAATTCTGCATTGTTCATACATGTGCTCACAACAGGATTAAACACTTGGACAGTACACTGTCATATATAAAACCATTGTCATTTCAATTTGTGTTGTCTGACGTTTTATAATGAATATCTAGAACGTTGGCATAACTTCACTTCAAATTTTGATACTTTGTTTTTTGAGTTTTGATATTTCTTCAAAACTCTGTATCCGATCTGACAGAATCATTTGAAATGAACATTTTGGAAAGTTCGAAGGATCGTTATCTCATGGCAAGAAGAAAAAAAAAAGAAAGGAAAATTGACTTTTAGTCCCAAAATGAAGTTTCCAGACCACTGTGCGTCGGGACGAAAAGACAGAAGAGGGCAGGAAGATGATCGGTGGCCCATTTTTTTTAGAAAGGAGCAACAAGCACCGGTTACAGTTAAGCAGCGTTGTTAGCCGCCGTTCAGTTTTCAATGAGCAGCATTCCAGACCGCTGGTCAAGCTACAGCTCACCTGGAAACCCTTCAAGAACTCGTTTCAGTAATATTCGGTTCCTACGCGGAAGTGCGGGCGAAACACCTGAGCGAGTTTGCTTCCTTCTGCGAGCTACGTACGAAAGAGCCACGGCCCTCTCTATCCTTCCTCTTAGACGCGAGAACGTGGGAATAAGTGGCGTATAGTCCTGTAGTCGAGAGGTGAATTATTCGAAGAATCTCATCGATCGTTCAGACGATCTCAATGATCGATCGGCTGAATGAGTTTCATTGCCCCATTCGCATCACGAGATAAAGCTCGTTGCAAACCGACGAGACGATCGTTTCTTTCGTTTCTAATTGCGAACGCGTGTTTTCCCTCGCGATCTGCATTCAAAAGATCTGCATTGCTCCTTTGCACGCGTGGGAACCGTCGAAATGACAAAAACCGTGCAGGAGTATCCACAGAATTCGCAGAATAAGGAAACAAACGCTGCGTTTGACTCTTGCGTACCTGTTTAAATTGTTAATGACGCGCATCAAATTGTAGCAAATCCGTCTTTCAGATTTGATCCTTTGTCAGTAAATTGTAAAATTCCGTGAGTGAATTCCAGATCTTTTGTGAAAGATACGTGCTCGGAACTTCACTTGAAAAAGTTAAAATGCAGGGAAAACGACGGCGTTACAAATTTCATTCTTTAAAGTTGTCACATTGAACGCAAGAAATAATAAAGAAAAAAATTTTTTTCCATTTTTGATCGATTGTACAATGTACGAGAGTCAATAACATCTTTTTATCAATTTTAGATAACGCATTTTCGACACAATAAATTCTAAATAGATAAAAACAGCACTTACAAGATATCATGAGCAAATGACATTAAGGCACACTCGATCAAATAAAAATTGAACTACAAACTTTCTATAAACAATTACATGCTGTGAGGCAATTCATAATTAAATAATTTGATTAATTGCAAGTACACCTTTCCTGCGATACAATTATAGATACATTCGTAACATGAATGATGAATGTTTCGTTCAAAAAGATTGATAATACATTGAACTTTTATCAATTTTATCAATTAAATTTTATTACTTTACAGTTCTCTGCTGAAGAGAACGTAATTAGATACTCCAAATAATAATCTGTAGACTACGGATTTCTGAAGATGCAAAAATGCACACAATTATTATAAAATACTGTGATCTATAACCGAAGAATATTATTTCAGCCTCAGAATATTCTTTTGTTTTTGTCATGCCTCTCATTTTACACGATAGATATCGTAATTATTTCTAATAGTCATTCGATCTCTGTTTTCCTCGGGGTAATTATTTGTATTATTAAGCGAAATTCCGATATGTCGTAAATAGAAATCGACACAATGTAAATTCCACACACACATATATATATAAATATCTCTTATCAAATAAAAGATCTTTAAACATAAAGATATTGTTATCACCGCTTTGATGTCAGCTCGAGATGTCTGAGTCACAGAAAATGGTCATCAAAGAGACATCCGTTCGTGCCATCGTCGATCCACGATAGATTTAAAGTGTTACAATGTATTCAATTAAATTCATGTTCATCCATTGCAAGCGCGCAGGCGACGCACTAAAAATCAAAGGGGGTGTATCGATCGCGATAAACAATTGATAAAATCTGATTAAGAATGCCTAGATAAAGTATTGAATTTCTCAGACTAGTGAACTGCAACAGATTCGCCGAACTATTCGCTATTGTCCCGCGTCTATCGTCGAACATCGCGAGAGCTAGTAGACTGGGAAAATTTTTGAAAATTCTGATTTCATATAACGTGTTGAATAACATGGGAAACAAGTAGGTAATACAGTGTCGCGTGCAATGAATTGATTACTAAAGAGAAATGTATCTCCTACTTCCTCTTCTTTAATCAAGTGAAATGAAGATCAGAGAGAATGCTGAATCAGAAGAAACGATCGTTTGATTTTCCTCCTTTGAGAGTGTGAAACGTGCTGTAAAATATACACAGTATCGTTAAAAAGTATCTGCAGACACTTGTCTGTAGAACTGCTAGTAAGTGTGATTACATTCTGAATTTGTTCTTTATGAAATTGCAGTACGTGTGATAAAATTGATCATCGAAAGGATATTTACAATATTTCATATTTTATAGAAATTTGTTTCGTCTATGTAAAATGTTAAATATGTGCATTTCTACGCTTTTATTTTTCATTATTTTGTAAAGATCTGCACTTTACTAATATAATGTCATATAATCAAGTGGTTTTTTTTTTTTTTTTTTTTTAAATTACGACCATCAAGAAAGCAGCCAGGTTCTGCTTCTGCTTCAGTAATTAAATGGCACGCTTCGCTAAAATTCACGTACTGTTGTTTATAAATTTGACAAAAATGCCCGGATACTTACGCAATACGTAAGGTACATTTCCATCCAAAGGATTGCGAAAACACGAACAATACGGAAGCAACAACAACAGTTCGGTTGAATCAAGCGTTCGTAAAGGAAGATCGATCCATTCCGTTCGACGCAGTTTGTGCAAACAAGCCACGTTAATCATGCAAGTTCGTTCGTTCTCGTACAGAAAATTACCCAATTAACTTTCCTGAGAGGTGACTATAAAAGTTTTGATGGATCGTGGCTGTGAAGCGAGGGAGAGCCGAACGGGTTAATCGTATGGCATTCGTGTTCAGCTAGTTTTCTGGAATTCGCTTCCCGTTAGCGGGGAGGATACGACACGAGGTAGCACTGGAATTTGATTCGTCTCTTGGTGGTTTATATTTTTTTCTCTTCTTTTTGTTCTTGCTATTTTTTTTTTTTGTTTGTTTTCTCGTACCTTTGCTCGTCCGCACGAAGGAGGATCGTTGGCTCGCGCAACAGGAAGGTTCGTAAACCGCGGAGGCGTACGAAAACCGGTGTTTAGACTAGTCGTACGGCTCATGTTGAAATTGGAATCGAGGTTCATGGGTCAGGTTGCACCATCATTAATTCAACAATCTGAAACACCGACTATTGTAATTACGCGAGCCTGCGTGAATGTAACAACAACGTTCGTCGTGAGGTAGAATTAAAAATAAAGGGAGCCTTCGGTTGGAAAAAAAACGTGAAAGCGCGGAGGAACCTACGAGTCGTTCATATAGAAACATACATCCAATCAATCAAATTGAACCAACGGAAAAGAAGAAAAGTTCCTTTTATTTCTCTTCCCTTTCTTCCTTTTAACTGAAAAAAAAAAAAAAAAATTGTTTTCCTGTTCAATTTACCCTTGAGTTTCGGTCGTCGTTTCATTTGTAAGAAAAGAATTGAATTTAACGTGATACCATTTCGTTGCAGGCGGAGCATAGGTTGGAGCAGTTGAAGAAGGCGACGGACAGAATACAGAAGGAGATCGAAGAGGTCACAGAGAGGGAGCACGAGCTGAGAAACGTGGGCAGCATTAAAACCACGTCCCACGAGACGGTGGATTCCAAGGTATGCTTAAAACTTGATGTTTATACATATGTACGATACGAATGTATTATATATACATATATATGTGCTCAAGGTCGTTGAACGAAAGAAAGAAAGAGTAAATACCTGACGTAGTCCTTATAGGGACGAAACGCATCGGACGGCTGATGTGATGTCCATGAGGAACGAGGACGATTTACTGCGATGATACACGCATTTACTGACTTAATGATTCACCACGTAGCGCACTGTTTCAGTCTTGTTACGAACGTGACGGGAATTCATCGATGAAAAATTAAAGCTGTTGCTTTACTTTCCATGCTGTAATGAAATTACTTATGTAGTGATTACAACGCGCGAAAGTATATTGAGCTTACCACAGGAAATTTTTGAATCATATGCACTGTGTGTGTATTATATAAATTAGATCATTCTGGAATTACACACAAGTACTGTCACGATTATACTGTTAAAATCTGAAACATCAGCATTGCAAATGCATATTTTATATTTAAGATTAGCACGTTTCTATACTGTAGAAGGAAATAAATTTTCATAAAATTTCGAAGTGAAGCCCGAAAGTACGTAGAATTATGTACTACTGATAAGCGATTAAAAGTACGTGTTTGTTTAATGATTTGCATAATACGAAACGGGTTAATCGTTTTTGCCTTTTATCTCTAGAAGATTAAGAAAACAGACCACAGTCAAAATTAGTGAAAGACCATTGACTTTTATAGAACGAATGAATTCTGCTTTCATCATAAATTACACCAAGTATCCAAGGTTGAATATAACGAGTTCTCAAGGTGATTTTACATGCGAAATATGCACGAAACAGAGTCGATTAGCTCTAACAGCCTACTTTTTAAAATTGCGGTACGTTTAAGCAGAACGGAACTAATGGTGATGATCGTGGGTCAACGTTACAGTAATTGCCAAAATCGCGGCACACTTTCGACAATAGACACAAACGTACGATCGATAATTCCGAGATCGCGCGATTTTATATATTTCACGCTAATTAATTAGCAACAGGCATACGAAGTAATTGCCTGTAGGATGCGAGAGCGTGAACATTTATTTCGTAAACAGCCGGTTGCATTAGGGTTTTCGTAACAGCAGGATTTCGATGAAAATATCTTATCAGCTGAGATATATATATATATATATATA